ACTGATGAGACAAAGAATTTGAATCCAAAAGAATGACTCAGATAATTTGGAGGTCCCTGTAGGCCACTCCTGAAGTATTTTTTTTTTTTTTGAAGGAGTAACTATACAGGCTCATCTCTTCACAGCACAGAAAGAGATGCCGACTCCCCTGTCCAATAGGGATTCAAGAACTATTTGCTGATTTCATTTTATTAATATGAGATGAACCCTTTCATGCTGATTTTCACTATCTAAGGTTGAACTGTAGCCAAAGATACCATGATCCAGAGCAAGCATCTGGCCACATTTTTAGATCACTGTCTCTCAAACTTGACTGTGCAGGGGGGAGTCACCTCCGAATCTTGCTAAAACACAGTTTTGTTGTTCAGGTCTGGGGAGGGGCCTGAGCTCCTGCCCTTAGGTGATGCTTCTGGCACTCTCCCTGGCCTGCACCTTGATTAATAACATTCTATAGGGTGAGAGAGGAACTGGAATTAGAGGAAGAGAAGATGGGATAATGGAGGTACGAGGGGGCCCACTTAAACATAAAATGTGGCCGACTATTCAGATTCTCAGAGGAAAGTCCTGTTCACTGGTTTCTTCTTTCATTCAGCTATCCTCCCTTCAACCTATACTTGTAATTCATTTATTTGTTCAACAAATATCCACCACACTCTTCTGCCATGGACAGTATGAGTCAATAAGGAAGGAAACAGTGGTCAAGGTTGGAATCATTCTCACAAACACAGAGCTGAGAAAAAACAGAAAAAATCTATGTGGGGGGAGATAAGTGTTATATTTACCTCTAACAACCATATATATATATAAAACAACCATCAGACTAAATATACTCAAAGAAAACCCCTGATTTTTCAATTCAGCTGCTATTTTTCACCTCTGAAACCAATCTGCATGATCACAAGGTAGGATTTCATCATTAGTGCTTAGAGAAAACCTACTCCGGGTGGTATATTTGCTTCTCCAGAGCCTCACCTCACTACCTCCCATAGCTCAGAACTATAGAAGAGGTCCCCCCAAAGAGGCAGAGTTTGCTTTAAAATTCACTCCTGAATGTCTGAATTAATTCATTTAAAAATTGCTGGTCACATGCCCACTATACACCAGACTGGGCTCAGTACCTGGGCCCAGAGAGGACATTACATAGTTACGGTGCTCAAAAAGGTCAGGTGGAAGTATTTTAATTTGAACACAGTCTAGCTGTTGAAGTCAGGTCATTTTCATATTTAACAACAGGGTAAAACTAACGGCTTCAGTGACCCTAAAGAGCATTTCTTATCCAATAGAGCTTAGAGCTCATGGTTTGGGGAGACCTGAGGAATAACTCAAGGATTATACACCATGACCAAATGGGACTTATTCCAGAAATGCAAAGTTAGCTCAACATATGAAAATCAATGTAATACACTATATTAGTACAATTAAGGGAGGGGGGATCATGATCATCACAATAGTTGCAGAAAAAGCATTTGACAAAATCCAACACCCTTTCATGATAAAATGCTTAACCATCTTAGAAGAGAATTTCCTCAACCTGATAATGGGCCTCTAAGAAAACTCACAAGTAATATCACAATGGTGAAAGACTGAAGGCTTTCCCTCTAAGATCAGGAATAAGACAAGGGTGTCTCTCTGCTCTTACTATTTCTATTCGACATTGTACTGGAGGTTCTAGCCAGAGAAATTAGGCAATAAAAAGGAATAAAATTTACTTAGATTGTATATAGAAAATATTAAAAAATACACACACACAACTAGTTCTCATAAACAACTTCAGCAAGGTTATGGGACACAGGACCAATATACAAAAATCAATCATACAATCTATACACTTCCAATGAACTATCTGAAAATGATTATTTTTACACTAACATCAGAAAAGATAAAATACTTAGGAATAAATTTTACAAAAGAAATACAAGTATCATACAATGGAAACTACAAAACATTACGGAAAGAAATTAAAGAAAACCAAAGTAAACTGAAAGACAGTCAATGTTCATGAATTGAAGACTTAATATTGTGAACATGGTAATACTCCCCTAGTTGATCTACAAATCAGTTCAATCCCTACCAAAATCCTGCCTGGCTTTTTCGAAGAAATGGACAAACAAGTCCCAAAATTTTTCAAGAGACTTAGAATAAGCAAAACAATCTTGAAAAAGAAAAACTCACACTTTCTGGTTTCAAAACTACAAACAAAACTATAGAACAAGACAAAGTTACACTAATCAAGACAAATGTGGTACTGGTATAACTGTTACATGGAGAACAATGGAATAAAATTGGCAGTTTGGAAGTAAAACCTTAAATTTATAGTAAACAGACTTTTGACAAGGCTGTTCTGGTGACTGGGTAAGAAAAAAAAAAAAACAGGGGCACCTGAGTGGCTCAGATGGTTAAGCGTCTGCCTTTGGCTCAGGTCATGATCCCGGGGTCCTGGGATCGAGCCCCGCATGGGGCTCCCTGCCCCGCGGGAGCCTGCTTCTCCCCCTCCCTCTGCTGCTCCCCCTGCGTGTGCGCTCTTTCTCTCTCTGTATCTCTGTGCCTTGAGTGAATAAATTTTAAAAATCTTAAAAAAAAAATAGTCCTTTTAACAAATAGTGCTGAGACAACTGGATATTCACATGCAAAATTAGACCCCTACCTTCACATGAATGAAGTAAGACCTTTACCTCACACCACAGACAACAATTAATTCAAAAAGGATCAAGACCTAAAGTTAAAAGCTAAAATTATAAAAGTCTTAGAGAAAAACATAGGCATAAACATTCATGACCTTGGATTAAGCAGTGGTTTCTGAAATAGGACACCAAAACATAAGCAACAAAATTTTAAAAATAAGTATATAGGATTGCATTAAAATTTTAAACTTTCATGTTTCAAAAACTATCAAGAAAGTGAAAAGACATCCCACAAATTGAAAGGAAGTATTCCTAAATCATGTATCTAGGATTTGTATCCAGATATATATAGAGAAGTCTTAAAACTCAACAACAAAAGGTAAATAATCCAATATTAAAATGAGTAAAGGATCTAAATAGACATTTCTCCACAGATACACAGATAACCAATATGCACTTTAAAGTGCTCAACACCACGTGGCTTGTCTGGGTGGCTCAGTCGGTTAAGCATCAGACTTTTGATTTCTGCTCAGGTCATGATCTCAGGGTCATGACATGGATCTTCACATAGGGCTCAACACTGGGTGTGGAGCCTGCTTAGGATTCTCTCTCTCCCTCTCCCTCTGCCGTGCCCCCCCCCCCCCGCCCACCGCTGGTCCTGCGTGCACTCTCTCTTAAAAAAAAAAAAGTGCTCAACACCATGATTCATTAGGAAAATAAAATCAAGACTACAACAAGGGGGAATGACACCAGCAAAACAGCAGCAGCATAGAATTTCTAACACTTGCTTCTCCCCCAGAAACATTAATTTGAGTACCTATCTGCACAGGAAAATACCTTCACAAGATCTGCAGTTTCCAGGTGAGGGATCATAGCATCTGGATGAAGCATAGAAATAAAGGACACATTGAGGAGGTAGGAAAGATAAATTTACATTACTGCCATCCCTTCTCCCAAGCCCAGGTAGCCCAGTGAAGAGAAACACCTGCCCCATGAAAGGAGAGTGAAGTGAGTGCCTGACTTCATCGAGGACCCCAGATCCAGCTTGCCCCAGGCTGACTCCCACAGTCCTCGATGCTCTCTACAGGCTCCCATAACCCCAGGCCCCCCCAGCTCACCCGGCCCCTGAGGAAGGGGGAACAGGACATGACTGCTAATGGGTACAGGTTTCTTTGTGGAGTCATGAAAATATTCTGGAATTAGTGATGTTGGTTGTACTAAAACCTACTGAATTGTACACCTTAAAGGGGTGCATTTATAGTGTGTGAATTTTGTCTTTAAAAAAAGTAGGACAAAAATAATTTAAGTTATGCTAATTGCTATAAAATGAATCAATTCTGGGCATCTAATGTATAGCACGGTGGTGACAGTTAACAGTACCCCATTATAGACTACTTGAAAGTTGCTAAGAGAGTAGATCTTAAATGTTCTTACTACAAAAAAAAAAAAAAAATGGTAATTATGCCAGGTGGTGGAAGTATTAACTAACCTTACTGTGGTTAATAATTTTGCAGACATATACATGTATTGCATCATCACCTTGTACAGCTTAAATTTACACAATGTTACATGTCAATTACATCTCAATAAAGCTGGAAGATATAGATAGATAGATAGATAGATAGATGATAGATAGATAGATAGATAGATGATAGATTTTTAAAAGTAGCTCAATCTTGGCACCTAGTAGGTTAGCCTCAACCAGACCCAGCGATAAAGAAGAAAATGCAGATTGACCAGCGCTGGTAATTCAGTTATCCCAAATGTAGTCATGTGCATAAAGCCAAACTGGGAGCTAATCCTTCGACACCCCTCTGTGGGGCTTCTCCTAATAGGCTTCAGTGGGAGAGACCATTACAAACAAAAGTCAACAGCCCTGGGCTCTTCTCCCCAGTCTCACAATCCCACCCTACCCTTTGGATAGGCAGTAAAATTCAGTGCCAGTTTGTCCTTTTAAAAAAAGAAGAAAGAAAGAAAAAAAAGCTTTTATTTAAAAAAAAACTAAAAACACCTTTGTCTGCTTCCGTTTCTCATTAAAATGCCACTTTTGAGTCATTTGGAAAGGGTCAGGCTGGATGTTGGCTTTAAAACCTTTGACAGCTACTATAATTGCCTAGAGGTCCAGTAACAGTGATTGCTCTCACAAGTTTAATTTTGAAGTTTCTGCCAAGCCATTAGCATGTAACCAGGCTATGGAAATCAAAGGAAATTAGAGGCGAAGAGAAAAACTAATCTCATCTACCTCTGGACTGTCACCTCCTCCCTGGGCCAGGACAAGTTCTCTTCTAAGTTGCTGTTTCCGGGTGTAGTGAGAAGAGTCTGGGGATCTGATTCCAAGTTCTGCTACTAACTAACCACATGGTCTCAGGCAAGTTATTAAACATTTTGGTATTCTTTATATGCTTTTATTTATGTGTCATCCCTACCAGGGCTGGGCTAGTGTTCTCTGTATCATTCCAATTTTAATATATGTGTTGCAAAAGTGAGCACTACACAATTTGGTATCTTTAAAAATGGGTACATTGTTGCTTCTCCTGCTGGACCCTCTTGTCCAAGTGCCATCCTGACAAGATCCTTCCATAGATCATGTCTGTGGAGCAAGGCAGGCAGAGAGACGAGTGCACAGGAGTGCTCTGAATGGGTGCTCATTGAGTTTAGGATTGAGCTGGGCAAGCTTCCTGCACGGAAGCAGAAAGGCATTAAAATAAAACATTGTATCACATGGATCTGGTCACTTTCAGGAAGGATAAGAGAACACATCTAAAAGACATGTTTAAAGGGTGCTCTAGTTAATTGTGGCTCAACCATCATGGTGGCAATTTCAACTTTTCTATGGTCATTTAATCACATTTAGTCTTTCGATCCTTACAACAAACAATCCAGGGGTTATTATGCTCTCCATTCTACAGATGAGAATACTGAGCCTGCAAAGGTTACATTGATAAGGAAAATCTGTGTCCTAGGATGGCCAAACGAATCCGAGAGAGAGTCCCAGTCCTCACCCCGGGGCTCTTCTGGGTTCTTCTCCCGGCTCTGCTTCACGCACGCGCACAAATCCGGGTTCCTCTCCCTGCCCCGATTCCCGCACACGCCAGAAGTGCCAGGTATGCGGAAGTAGAAGTGTATAAATTGCCCCCTTTGTTTGTGCTCGGGGCTCAGACCTTTGGAGACCACTCTCCTCTGAGCCCGCCAGCGTTAAATAAACCTCCTATCCTCCAAGATCTCCAAGAGCCGCTTGGTTCTTCCATCAGGCGATCAAGTCCAGGTTCTGTAACAACATAACTTCCTTAAATTTCACTTGACTGGTCAGTGGCAGAGATGGCCTTTGAACCATAGATTTCTGGCCTTAATGGCTATATTCTTTCTGCCTGACCAGCGGCTCCCAGATGTGATGATCACTAAGATAGCCTCAGGTATTATGAGGGTCCACGGGTACAGGACCCACTGCTACCTCCTGTTATCCATCTAGTCTATCCTTAAGGGACTTTTGGAAATTTCATTTTTAACAAAGAAGGGCAAGCCTGCAGCCCTGGTGCCCAGAATATTCTCACATGACAGTAGGAAACCAAAATTTGTTGTGAACTCTTAAAGAATGCAGAATTATGTACAAAAACCTTACAGAAATTAAAAGGATACATGTGTTCCTTGGCTATTCCTCTTCAGAATATCCTCTGGATTGAGCCCAGAAGGCAGCATAGAATAGTGGGCAAGTACGCCAGTTTAGAGTCCTGTTTCGGTCTTTGCTAGCTATTTGACCTTAAGCAACTTATTTAACTTTGTTACACCTTTGTTTATTCAACTACACAATGAGAATAATGTCTCCTTCAAAAGATCCTTACAAAGATGAAACCAGCAACGATGTAAGGTGGTTAACAAGTGTTAGGCACATGCTAAGTGTGAAATAAATTCCACTTTGTGTTGTTCTGTCCCACTGTCTTCAGAGGAGAAGGAAAAGAGGTAAAAGGAGCCAAAATCCAAATCCATTTAAGCAACCTGTCCCTAATAAGGATGCCAGTCAGGAACAGCTCTTCTGCTGCTTCTGCAAATCCAGATGTTTCCCATGAATTTGCTTCCCAAATCAACCTAGAAATGGCAAGACCAAGTTCATGCTACTTCAAAATTAGAGATCCAAATGCTAATGAAAATCCGGTTCCATCACTATTTAATGATCACCTACTAACTGCCAGTCGCTGGAAGATAAAGAGATAATAGGCAGGATACAGTCCCTGCCTTTGAAGAACTCATGGGTCAATAGTGGGTGCTTGATAAGACCGTAAATAACAGTAAAAGGTTCCCATAGGAGAAATCTTATAAGGGAGAAGAGAACTGCTCTGGGAGTTCCAGGGAGGGAGAAGTCACCTCCATTTTGATAAAGATTTCATGGATGAGGAAAATTCACATGACTTTGAAAGATACAAGTGAATGGAGCAGGAGAGGATGTCAAGAGAACATTCCAGGTGGAGGGAACAGCATCGAGCAAGGCAGGGAAGTGGAGCACAGATGTCTTGACTGGGAAACATCCAGGAGTCAACGTGGCCTAGCACTAAAGCAAGAGATATATACGTATAAGTAGTGGGAGGAAAGGCAGGAGAGGTGGGTGGTGGCCCCATGGTCGACGCTTTCCATTCTGGGTGTGGAGGAAGGCCAAAGCTTCACTCAGTTTTAGTAAAAAGAGCCGATGAAGCATTTTGAACAGAAGGCAGTATGATTGGAATTTGATCAGAGTCACCTGTCTTGGGAGGTGATGAGGATTAATTGAGACAAATCAGTAAAGCCCCTAACAAAAGTCAACAGTGCAAAATTAATTCCAATTCTCTTCTCCCTTCTCAAAGCACCCAGAAAATCTATTGTTTCTGAATCGAGTGCCTGTAACCCAGAAAAAATGGGCTTAGAGTCTCATCAAGACTCTGCTGGCTGTGAATTTCCTCTTCCTTCCCAGAATCCAGCTAAAGAAGGGTGGCCCTGTGACCCGGATCTAGAAAATCCCTAGGCAGAGGCCAAAGGATAAGTTGTGATGACCTCTAGCTATTTCCTGCAGCCTGAGAAATGCAGGATTGCACAGTTTCAGTGCAGTCAACCCCGTACTCCCTGCTAAACACTGGCCTGCAGGAAAGCTGGCCCCCTCTCATCTTTGTTACTATCTCTCTTTAGAGGCTCATTTGGACTGACCAGCCAATGTCATTTGGCATTTAAGAAGTGTGCCTCCCCTCACCCTCTCCACTGCACTGAACCTGAAGATGATTTGGGGGTTTTGTAGCCTTTCATTTTTTCCCCTTTCCCCTTCTCCTGGGGCTGGGAGTCTTTTCTTCCTGATAAGAACCTTCTAGCAACTTCATCAGAGCCATTGTTAAGAGAAGGCGATTCTTCTCACAATGGATACCTGATGACTTCCCCCTTTCTGCAGACAAATGAGTCCTTGAGAAAGGTCTCATTATTGCTCTGGTGCCATTATTCTGAATGCAGCGGCTCAGGGCCCCTCCCTCAGTCCCCACGGGGGCGGGGCGGGTGGGGGGAGGCAGGGGGCCAGGGGAGGGCAGAAGGAAAGAAAAATCCTGTTTTTTGCCATTCACTTTTTAAAAAGGTGGCTGTGAAAATCTTCTCCTTCCCCACTAATGGGATTTGAAGGAGACACAACTTCTGCACTTGGTACCCTCACACATTCTGGAAAAGTCCTTTGCAGACTCAGAGGTTAACTGCGCTTTTCTGAGGTGCCTCCTCTCCTGCCAACTCAGGATGTTTCATCTCCTCAGAGATCAAAATGCGCTGACCTCTACCCCCCCAAGCATTTCACAGTGGCCTAAAATCGAAAAACCATTCTTTCTGCCCCTCGTCCTTCTATGGAGATTCCCTTCCTTTCTGTTGGCACGCCTGCAGGCTAGCTTCCATCTGCACACTCAGAAAATCAGGAATTAAGTGACCATCACGGTTAAGGCCCTGGGACAGGCACAGTGGGGAATAAATTACATCTCAGCCTTCTGGGTCTCACACCCTATGTCCCAGAGATCAAGGACAGGCACTTTCATTATAAAGGCCCATGAGCCTTTCACCTACTTGATCTGCCTGTGATGCCCTTGGGGTAACAGACATTCATCCAAGTCATTATTTAACTAAAGCTACTCATTGGGGAGTATTTAAGTCTAGATATCCTAACCCAACTTCCCCCAAGTTTCAAGACTAAACCCTAATGAATAAGCATCTTACTCAACCTTTGGCTGCTTCTTGGAAAAGGGGAAATAAAGTAAAACATTTCAAGTCAAACTGGAGAAGTGAACATACAGATACTCACTGATAAGGGGGATAAAATGTATTGGCCAGCAAAAAAGGTAAGCTAGAGGTCTCCATTCATAGATGAGGGAAGAATAAAAGGAGAGAGAGAGAGAGATTTAGTGTTATAACTGAATCACTTGATGGAAGAAGAACAAATAAGGCAGATTTGGCTAATATTGACCTCAAAAGTAGGGAATCTGAAGGACAATCAGACAATTTTGAACAGAGAGTTAATGGTATTGACTTTGGTAAATGAACATAGAAAGGCAACATGGTTTTGATCATGGAGCCACATCCCTTCCCCTGCCTCCCTTCATCCCTGTCACCCTCAAGAAGTGAGCAGAGACAACTCTCAACTACCTGTGACAAAGGAAGGGGGCCCTATATCTTCTTGAGACTACAAGGCCTCCTCTGTGGGAAGTGGTACTTTGCCTGTATAATCTCTCCTTTCTAACTGTTGAATTCAGTTAGTGGCATCTCTTTTCATACTGTGGGTCTCCTTCACTTGCTTCCTTATTCTGACCTACATTTTAATAAGCTGGGGTCACTGAGTAAGTGACACTTTGCTTTAGTCCCGTTTAGTGATTAATATCCGAATGCTAAGGAAGAACAGGGACTTTCCCTTAAGCAAATGGCCCATTTCACAGGGGCTTCACATAGATTCACAAAGAAGTTCCTACAGATTCACTAGATAGAAGTAATACGGGGACAAGCCTTAATGCCACCCCCTACTCTTCTAACCCCTCACATAGGTTGGAATGAAAAACTAACAATCAGGAAAGAAGGTGTCTCCATAGTTTAGGAAGGTAGTTAAGGAGTAAATTATCTACCCTATTTAGACAATCCACTTCAAGGCCCTACTTCCTGGATCACATTCTCCACTGTATGGTTGAGGTGGAGTGGGGTTTCCAGTCTGAGTTTATAGGCCTTCAAGCCTTCTTTTAAGAAGACTGTTGATTCCTCTTTTCCGTGATACCAGTCTGGCCCAGAATGACAATACTGCCAAGGACCTCATGTCTTCGCCCCACTTATACCACCACCAACTGCTACGAAGTCCTGGGCACATGCAGGGGTGGTTTTCTGTAAGACTTCTGCTGTGCCCTTTGGTGGCAGCTGTGGTCTTGGGCAGATCTTTGAGGGAAAAAACGTAATGCCCTGTACTGAAGGTCTAACTTCCAGCATTTTCTTTATTGGACTCCCTGATGCAGAGAGACCAGAGATCA